GGGGGGGGGGAAAGAAAAAGGTTTGCTAAACCCGTACCACCCCCCCCCCCCCCCCAAACCCCTTTAAACTTGACAATAATCTAGACATCACAAACCAAACTAACTCTTGTTCATCTCTCCATCATTAACCTCTGCCCCGAAAAGATGTACACCAGGGGTACTTAACCTTTTTTGCAGCGTCGCACCTCGCTCTTGATTTAACAAAACCTATTTCCTGTAAACCCCCCCCCACCCCCATACCATTAAATATCTAATAAAATGCCAACAAACCTATTTTTTCGTCTGAGTATTCCCGCAACCATGGCCACAGAACTCCATTCACCAATGCCACTAATCTCCAGTAAAGATGTACACCATCAAAGGCCCATGTCAAGTAAGCTTTTTCACCATAGGGGCTCAACGAAGTGGACTTTGGATTGTATGTGTACTACTATAAGACCTTAACTCTAATTCGGATCACAGTAACGTGCAACTAAATGGCCTGCCTTTAAACATTCAACCCCACCTGGCCGGCATTAAACATGTTACAAAGAGTTCAATAGCTTCTCTTTTTGGTGTTGCTATTGGTTGTAAAGGCCAGAAATATTTTGTTTGGAGATGACAGCCATGAATGGTGATCACAACAGCAAGGAATGGCTGGGAAAGTCTGATTACAATAGCAGGTGGTGAATGTTGAATGGTATAAAGATAAGAAGAGACACTGACTTAGATAACAGGTGTTGTAACAGACCAAGTGGATTATTTAAATTCAGCTGTGTTCAGTGCACTGACCGGCTCACATGCAAAGCATGCAATCACATTACAAACACTTCTATTTTCTGTGACAGAGGACATGCCTTGAAGTGTGCAGTGACAGAGGACATACCTTGAGGTGTGCAGTGACAAAGGACATCCCTTAATGTGTACAGTGACGGACATGCCTTGAAGTGTGCAGTGACAGAGGACATACCTTGATGTGTGCAGTGATGGACATGCCTTGATGTGTGCAGTGATGGACATGCCTTGATGGGTGCAGTGACAGAGGACATGCCTTGATGGGTGCAGTGACAGAGGACATGCCTTGATGGGTGCAGTGACAGAGGACATGCCTTGATGGGTGCAGTGACAGAGGACATGCCTTGATGGGTGCAGTGACAGAGGACATACCTTGAGGTGTGAAGTGACAGAGTTCCAATAGTCACGTATGATTAAAACACCAACAATAAAACAATGGATGAAAGTGTTTGTAGGCTGCAGAGCGCATGCCCCTACTGGATTTGAAGAATGATGAACACTGAGATTATTTCCCTGACCACAGCCCCTCTCCCCCCCCCCCGCCCCCACAGACACACACCCATGCCTTCATTATTTGTTACACTCGTATAAAGATAAACATGTAGTGTTATTCTACTTNCCAGATGATATATTTCAGAGTGTGTGCAGTGTGGAGTTGCCCCCAGATGATATATTTCAGAGTGTGTGCAGTGTGGAGTTGCCCCCAGATGATATATTTCAGAGTGTGTGCAGTGTGGAGTTGCCCCCAGATGATATATTTCAGAGTGTGTGCAGTGTGGAGTTGCCCCCAGATGATATATTTCAGAGTGTGTGCAGTGTGGAGTTGCCCCCAGATGATATATTTCAGAGTGTGTGCAGTGTGGAGTTGCCCCCAGATGATATATTTCAGAGTGTGTGCAGTGTGGAGTTGCCCCCAGATGATATATTTCAGAGTGTGTGCAGTGTGGAGTTGCCCCCAGATGATATATTTCAGAGTGTGTGCAGTGTGGAGTTGCCCCCAGATGATATATTTCAGAGTGTGTGCAGTGTGGAGTTGCCCCCAGATGATATATTTCAGAGTGTGTGCAGTGTGGAGTTGCCCCCAGATGATATATTTCAGAGTGTGTGCAGTGTGGAGTTGCCCCCAGATGATATATTTCAGAGTGTGTGCAGTGTGGAGTTGCCCCCAGATGATATATTTCAGAGTGTGTGCAGTGTGGAGTTGCCCCCAGATGATATATTTCAGAGTGTGTGCAGTGTGGAGTTGCCCCCAGATGATATATTTCAGAGTGTGTGCAGTGTGGAGTTGCCCCCAGATGATATATTTCAGAGTGTGTGCAGTGTGGAGTTGCCCCCAGATGATATATTTCAGTGTGTGCAGTATGGAGTTGCCCCCAGATGACATATTCGAGAGAGAGAGGGTGGAATTGTTCACCCATGACAGGGAAAAAAACAACAAATAGAAACTGATTAAGTTTTCAGTTTATTGTCCTGAACACAATGTCTATGACATATTACAATGTATAAAGACAACCACTGGAGACATGGATCATACATTACATAGTGATCAGACAAAAAGGTCTATTACACATAAATATTGCATTTCTTGGATTCACATCAAATTCATGTCACCATCTTTTTAAAATCCAGAAAATATGTTAGAACTGTTCAAACACAACTAGTCCCTTGTAACATGGTAAACACAAGTCACTGTTTTTTTCTTATGTAGAAGAAAGTCAACGTGTCTTATGTGAACACAAGTGTCACTGTGTCTTCTAATGTTAACACAAGTGTCACTGTGTCTTCTAATGTTAACACAAGTGTCACTGTGTCTTCTAATGTTAACACAAATAAGTGTGTTTTCTAATGTCAACAGGAGTCCATGGGTCTTCCTTGATGATAAGACAGTGTGTCTTAATGTAATGTTAAAACAAACCACTGTATCTTCTAAAAACACACCACACTGTCTTCTAATGTTGACACTAGACCATGTGTCTTCCTATGTGAACACAAATCACTGCCTTTTCTAATGTTAACACAAGTCATTGCTGTTTTTTTTTTCAATGATGACACAGGACTCTTAATGTTAAAACAAGTCAATGTGTCTCCTAATGCTTCTCTCATGTTGTGTTTCAAGAAGCTGCCCAGGTGTTCAGGGGTCTATTCAAAGGCTAGTGTGCCCACCTGTCTGGGCCTGCAGCTATAGATACATCAAGTGCCATCCACAACAGAACAGTACACGCCCCGCCCCGCTGATACAGCAGGACACGTTAAGCTAACATGTGGTAACAGAGAAGGTGAAAGGATGGGAAGCACTGTTAGACTTGATGCTGACAAAGAACGGCCCAGCGTGAGTCTGCCTTACGTGAGTCATTGCCTTAAGTCTGCATTACATTTACACAGAGTCACTGCCATAGGTCTGCCTTGCACTTGCACTGATTTCTCAGGAGTCTCGTTCCTTCTTGATGCTGACGTCTTTTGTGCTGTTGCCCAGGCTGATGTTGCTGCTGGAACTGCTGCTGGTGGTACCCAGGCTGCTGGAGCCGCTGTAGTCCTCACCTAGGATGGTGACAATCTCCCCTTGCATGAACGCCCAGGGAACATTGGAGCCCGACAGTGGACACTTGTTGCCACTGGGGCAGTACACTTCCGCCCCGGCACCCTGACGTTTGATGCTCTCTTTCGAACAAGGAAAGCAGAACTTGTGGTCGGGGACGGAGGGACACTGGACGAAATGGGTGTCCTCAAGTCTCTCTTGACACAGCGTGCATTTTAATAAATCTGCAGCCATTCCACTGGTCGATTCCGGCATGGTGCTGCCGACACCAGTGTCCGACACAGGGCCAAGGTGGGGCCCCCGTCTAGAGCTGTTAGGAGAATGGTGTGGCGCTCGCATCAGGTTGGTGGCGTGGTGCAAGAGATCTGGCGGCCCCGTGGGGGAGACGAGTGTGTCCGTGACATTCATGAGTGCAGCCATCGGGGACGGCCCGGGATTGGGGCCGGACCCGCCGTTGGGTGGGCTGGGCGTGTGGTTGTGGTTGCTGAGAGGCGACATGGAGGTGGAGCTGGGCAGGCCGGGACCGTAAGCCGCTGCCGTGGAAGAGATGGTCAGCTTGAGGGCGTCAGCCTGGCTCTGCATCCACTGCTGGCGTTTGTGCTGCTCCTCGTTCATCTTGCTGGAACTCCCGTGATCATCATCGGCCCCCGGCGAGCTCTTCCTCTTACGGCCGCTGCTGCTGGCGCCTTCCAGAAACAACCGCTGGGGCTCACTTTTAGAGACCGGCACCACTCGCCCCAGGTGACTTGGAAGCGGGGGCAGGCAGCTGTCTATAAAAGGTGCGGGGAGAACTTCCCTCGGTAGACTTTCCCTGAAATGCCGAACCCGGTCGGTGAACAGATCAGTCATGTGATTCCACTGTCCGCTGTTATGCTTGACCTCGTACTCCAGATACACGAGCCCCGACGACTGACCTTTACCAAAGTCCTTGACCGTATCATGACACATAAGTTTGACCAGGCTGGAGATGGAATTGTGGACAGTCCCTGAGCCTATCGGGTACTCCACAAAGTATTTCAGCTCTAGCTCGTTGGGACTCCGGAAACTGACATCGAATGCAAACATTCGCCCAGCCTGCATGTGGTCTTTCCTGAGTCTGATCTGAAAGGGCACACAAGCGGCTAAAGTGTTCAGCGTCTCTCTTACATACGGATTTTTCTGGATGGCGTCCTCTAGAGAAGAATACTTGACCAGTTCTTCGGCGCTGGATTGGGTAAGTACCTCATCCTCGTCATCTCCCCTTCTCATGTGTAGCAGTGGAGGTTGAGAAGGTGCGCCGTGGCGGCCGGAGTGACTGAGGGGGTGGAGGAGAGGTAACCCACCCCTGGGTGGACTCCCCCGGTGGTGCATCTCTGCAAAGTGTTCCTCGGCAGATCTGGACAATGGATGAAGCCCTAAAAGACCATTGGGCTGTCTGGTCATAGCGGATAGGTCCAGCATGTTTCTCCTGGAATCCAGGAATCTATCTGACGAAGGATGGTGAGCATGCGGTGGAGGTGCGGCCGAGTGGTTGGGCCCGGGCAGGTGATGAGAAGATGGAGGGCCGGATAATCGTGACGCATCGAGTCCTATGGAGGCATGAGAGTGATGGTCGGGTGGGCCCGAAGTAGGGGGCTGACCCAGTGGACCGTTTCTAGACTGTGGTCCTGGAGGGATGCCGTGAGGCGAAGGCTTGCCGATACCGTTGGCCACGCCGGGCCCGGCACGCGATGACTCCTGGAAACCCTGGACGCGTTTCATGTGACGGGCCGCGTCGATGACCATTTCAATTCTGTCCGGACCTTCGTAGTTGACACAGCCACGGCACACGGACTCGGAGAAGTCGTGGAGCATGGCCCAGGGAGTCCGGGGCAGGTCGCACAGGTAGCAGTGTTGACGTTGTGCGCGGTGAGGCATTGACATGGTCTACTGCTCACAGGTCAATGATATGGGTAGGTTAGTCCTGACGACGTTGCGTGGCAAGAGGAGGAGCACAAGAACGATCTATTTCCACTGTTTTTTGTCAATCTCAAAGCAATAGTCTTAGTAAAGAGTTTGCTTATTCTCACAAATTTCCTCATTCGAAGTGGCTATTTTTAAATGGAAGGGCGCCGGTAAAAGAGGGCGCCTCGTCAAATTTGACTATTTAAAACGTTCTAGTACAACGCCAAATATTAGGTCCACTATCCCACGAAGGTTCTATGGGAAATCCAATTCTAGTCAGAAATATTAAAACACAACTACTATTTTGATCCCTCCACAGACACACAGTTCACATGGTCGATTATTTTGCATACTCTCGACTATTTCGAATAGTGACAAGTGTTTTGCCCTCTGATCTACCGACGTCTCAGCACTGTTCCGAACACATGGCTAGAACGTCGAGCTATCGGTAACACATCTCCGCCATCTCTGGCTGTACGGAGTCACGGGCCAGGGCGACCGAGTCAGTGATGATGGCCGACGCTTTGTTTACATACAGCCAACAAAGAAACGGCTTGGTTTCGCCGTGGCCAACAAAAATCAATTGGGGCGGTGCGCAGCAAATGTCACACTTCACATACTTATCTGGCCTCGATCGTTATCTCTCCAACAATGGAGAGAGAGGATGAAACTAGGTCACAAATCACGCACACAAGCTGATCTGATCCCATGTTTTTGGTGCCAGGGTCTATTTATAACTCCCGCGCCTGAAAACTGTCCCGCGAAAGATGAATGAAAGAGACGGGTCACGGAACACCAGTCAATCGAACTACACAGCACGTGTGTCAGAACGACAACAACACGTGTGTCAGCATGACAAGCTCGCGTAGAGTATGACGAGAAGATAGGAACACCGACCCTATCAATCAGTGGACTCGCTTGGTAAACATTGAATCTAACGAACACATGTCAGTCTACACAGAGACAAGAAACGTTCCCGTCGCTGATAGAACACAAGACTGAGTCCAAAAATTGAAAGCCGTGCGTTTAACCTGACGGCCGCCTGGGAACTATAGGACTTAAATGTGCCGTAAGAGACATTTGCCGCGCTCTGCAACCCCCCCCACACACAGGCCGCGCTGGCTGGGTCGGTGCCCGCTGTTTTCTCACAATGAAATCTTAACCAGCGGGGCTCAAACGTGAAGGGGGAATCCCGAGCGACACGCTGGGTGATGTGGGGGAGGTGGGGGTGCACCAAGGCCGTTAGGGTTTGGTGAGGAAGTGTGAAATGCATCAAATACAAAAATAGCACCATTTGATCTAACCTACTTTAAATGATTTTTCTTGCAGTTCCACTTTGTCTTACTGTTTGGATATTGTGTTCCACTTTGTCTTACTGTTGCTGGGATATTTTGCTCCACTTTGACTTACTGTTGGGATATTGTGTTCCACTTTGTCTTACTGTTGGGATATTGTGTTCCACTTTGTCTTGCTGTTGGGGTATTTTGTTCCACTTTGTCTTACTGTTGTGATATTTTTTTTCCACTTTGTCTTATTGTTGGGACATTTTGTTCCACTTTGTCTTACTGTTGTGATATTTATTTTCCACTTTGTCTTATTGTTGGGACATTTTGTTCCATCTTTCAAAACTTTTGGGAAATCTTGTTCCTCTTCGTCAGTCAACTTTTTGGAATATTGTTCGACTTTGTCAGACAAATTTTCGGGACAGTGTTCCACTTTTTCCATCAAATGTATGGGACAAGTGTTCCACTTTGTCAAACAGTTGGGACATTGTTTCATTTGTGAGGCACACTGTTAGGGTATGGTTTCATTTTGACAGGCACTCTGCTGGGGTGCTGTTTTACTGTGCCGGGCACACTGTCATGATATTGTCTTGTAGGGTCTTGACTCTCTTCACGTCATGTTCCAATGTACCAAAGATCAATTCTGGCTAACGTAGAAGGTTAACGTCTGCTGTTGGTCGTTCTGGTTTTATAGATAATAATAACAATCCCGTCTGGCAACCCATCCACAACATTAACGCCAGGACACTAATTGGTTAAAAAGACAGAAGGGGGGGGGGGCGACGGACGGGACACGTCGGCATACTGAACATGGAGAGCCTCAATGGGAAAAGGGGAAATACAAAGGATCGGGAGATGGGGCTAAGAGAGATAAATAGGGGGGGGGGGATTAAATGAGGGAAGAAGAGAAAGGATCTGTTCACGTCGGCATACTGAACATGGAGAGCCTCAATGGGAAAAGGGGAAATACAAAGGATCGGGAGATGGGGCTAAGAGAGATAAATAGGGGGGGGGGGATTAAATGAAGGAAGAAGAGAAAGGATCTGTTCAAAGTTATAAAATATAGACTGAGACAGAAAGCCTGTCTATAAAAGAAAAAAAGACTTTTTTTTTAAAAAAAGGACATGTATCTTAAAATGGCTCGCTGGCTGTTCGTGCGTCGCGGTGTGCGTGCCACCACGTGATCTGGTCGTCTCGATTCAATCGAAGATGGAATTCAAAACAAGTCTGGCCCGGCGAGAGGCGGTCGTGCTTCGCCTGCGACACGCAACGTCAGGACGAGAAGGGGATTTTCTCTCTCAACAATCAACCTCGGGGGGCTGAGCACCTGCCGGAGGGAAAGAGGCGGCGACCGCGGGGGCAACACAAACAGGCGTCCCGGACCTCACGTACCTCGGCCATTGACAAACTCTGTCAACTTTCTCGGCAAACTGAAGAATGCCGGGGAAATGCTGGGCTCAAAGCTGTGGTCAATTTGTAGGGCGATAGACCAAACGTACCCGAGTGGGGTGTATAGCAATGGACCCGACCATCGAGGCGTGGCGGTGGTCCCGGTGCATTTCGTATGTCAGTGGACCCTGAACGATAATGCATAAATGTGGTCCCCGACCGAATAGATATAGCAGTGGTGCCCAACTGATGAGTTAAAACAGTGGTTCCCTACAAATTGAGATACCAGTGGCCAATTTCACTAAGATATAGTAATGGTCTCAAACAATGTGTTGCCAATACAATGCCCAAGATCATGTTTCTGACTCCAACAATGTGTTGCCAATACAATGCCCAAGATCCTGTTTCTGACTCCAACAATGTGTTGCCAATACAATGCCCAAGATCATGTTTCTGACTCCAACAATGTGTTGCCAATACAATGCCCAAGATCAGGTTTCTGACTCCAACAATGTGTTGCCAATACAATGCCAAAGATCATGTTTCTGACTCCAACAATGTGTTGCCAATACAATACCAAAGATCATGTTTCTGACTCCAACAATGTGTTTCCAATACAATGCCAAAGATCATGTTTCTGACTCCAACAATGTGTTGCCAATACAATGCCAAAGATCATGTTTCTGACTCCAACAATGTGTTGCCGATACAATGCCCAAGATCATGTTTCTGACTCCAAAAAAATAATCAATCCACCCATGTCCGTCTCAGTTTTCACCAGGTCATGGCACCAAAAATTTGTGAGGTGCCCACCCTTGCTAAGTTCAACACACATGTGTGAGGTGTCCACCCTTGCTAAGTTCAACACAAATGTGTGAGGTGTCCACCCTTGCTAAGTTCAACATAATTGTGTGAGTTCACCCTTGCTAAGTTCAACACAATTGTGTGAGGTGTCCACCCTTGCTAAGTTCAACACACACGTGTGAGGTGTTCACCCTTGCTAAGTTCAACACAAACGTGTGAGGTGTTCACCCTTGCTAAGTTCAACACAAACGTGTGAGGTGTTCACCCTTGCTAAGTTCAACACAAACGTGTGAGGTGTTCACCCTTGCTAAGTTCAACACAAACGTGTGAGGTGTCCACCCTTGCTAAGTTCAACACAAACGTGTGAGGTGTTCACCCTTGCTAAGTTCAACACAAACGTGTGAGGTGTTCACCCTTGCTAAGTTCAACACAAACGTGTGAGGTGTCCACCCTTGCTAAGTTCAACACAAACGTGTGAGGTGTTCACCCTTGCTAAGTTCAACACAAACGTGTGAGGTGTTCACCCTTGCTAAGTTCAACACAAACGTGTGAGGTGTCCACCCTTGCTAAGTTCAACACAAACGTGTGAGGTGTCCACCCTTGCTAAGTTCAACACAAACGTGTGAGGTGTCCACCCTTGCTAAGTTCAACACAAACGTGTGAGGTGTCCACCCTTGCTAAGTTCAACACAAACGTGTGAGGTGTCCACCCTTGCTAAGTTCAACACAAACGTGTGAGGTGTCCACCCTTGCTAAGTTCAACACAAACGTCTGAGGTGTCCACCCTTGCTAAGTTCAACACAAATGTGAAGATCCAATATTTAAACACCAACCCCCTCATACAAGGCGTTAATCTTAAGTCTCACTCGATTCATGTTATTAACTAGACAAATTGCATGCTTTAACATGCAACCAAATGGTGCACATCCTTTGTGTGGGTCGGTGTCATTCATTATATGCAGTTCAAAATATGAATCGAGAAGTAATTAAAATGAGCACCGTCCCGCGCCATCATATCGTCAATTGGCCAAGGTTCGTTTTGTAGGTGCGCACAGAGCGTGGGCATATACTTGCGAGTGGGAGCCTTCGCGCCACATGTAATGAGGGGTGCTGATATACGGATGTGGTGATGAAATGTGAATAGATGGGGAGATATGTGAAGACACATGGCGAGATGTGAAGAAAGGTGGCGAGATGTGAAGAAATATGGCGAGATGTGAAAAGATGTGACGAGATGTGAAGAAATGTGGCGAGATGCGAAGAAATGTGGCGAGATGAGAAGAGATATGGTGAGATGTGAAGGGATATAATGAAATATAAAGAGATATGGCGAGATGTGAAGAGATATGGCGAGATGTGAAAAGATGTGACGAGATGTGAAGAAATATGGCGAGATGTGAAAAGATGTGACGAGATGTGAAGAAATGTGGCGAGATGTGAAGAAATGTGGCGAGATGTGAAAAGATGTGACGAGATGTGAAGAAATGTGGCGAAATGCGAAGAAATGTGGCGAGATGTGAAGAAATGTGGCGAGATGTGAAGAAATGTGGCGAGATGTGAAGAAATGTGGCAAGATGTGAAGAGATGTGACGAGATGTGAAGAAATATGGCGAGATGTGAAAAGATGCGACGAGATGTGAAGAAATGTGGCGAGATGTGAAAAGATGTGTCGAGATGTGAAAAGATGTGACGAGATGTGAAGAAAGGTGGCGAGATGTGAAGAAATGTGGCGAGATGTGAAAAGATGTGAAGAGATGTGAAGAAATGTGGCGAGATGCGAAGAAATGTGACGAGATGTGAAGAAATGTGGCAAGATGTGAAGAAATGTGGCGAGATGTGAAGAAATGTGGCAAGATGTGAAGAAATGTGGCGAGATGTGAAGAGATATGGCGAAATGTGAAGAGATATGGCTGGATACAATGAAATTGGGCGAGATATGAAGAGATATTGTGAGATGTGAAGAGATATGGTGAGATGTGAAGGGATATGGCGAGGTGTGAGGAATGAGGCACAGGAGATATGGCCAGATACGAAGAAATGGGGCGAGATATGAAGAGATGTGGAGAGATGTCAAGAGATATGGCGAGATGTGGCGAGGTGTGAAGAGATATGGTGAGATGTGGCGAGGTGTGAAGAAATGTGGCAAAATGTTAAGAAATGTGGCAGGATGTGAAGAAATATT